TTGGGTTTTTTACAGTTCATTTGGCGCCGTAGTTGTTGGCAGCCATTCAAAGGAGATGAAAGGTGGGTGCTTATCTTGAGGGAATGTTTACCAGCTGAGAATGAACATAATTCCCAGCATTGAAATAAAACAAGAGTAGTTTTAACTGTGTGCTTAATTACAGTCTCAGGAAACCTTGGTCAATGTGACTTGGGACCGTTTTTTGCCATGGCGACTGTTGCTGCATCCCCTGCAGCCACGGGATCAAAAATTCAGAAAGCTTGGCAACTGGCATGTACTTACCACGGTGGCAATGTCCCGGGGTCACGTGTTCCCCTTTTGCAACCTTCTGGACAAACTAGATTCACTTAACAACCAAGTTGCTAACTGAACAACTGCAGGGATCCCCTTAACGGTGGCAAGAAAAGCCGTAAAAAGAAAAGGCAAAGCTCACTTAAACAAATGTCTCGCTCAGCAACAGAAACTTTGGGCTCAATTGTGGCCGTAAGCCAAGGAACTGCCTGCACTATGGAATAATAATAAAACAAATGGGCAGCAATTTCACCCGTGGAGATTTTTGATAATACAGGTAGTCCTCAAGTTGTGACCACAGTTGAGCCCAAAATTTATGGTGCTAACATTTGTTAGTGAGTTTTGCCCCATTTACTACTTTTTTTTCACCAGATTTGTTGCATATTTCCAACAACTGAACAGAGCCGTGATGGCAAACCTGTGGCACGCAGAGCCATTTGTGCTGGCACGCGAGCTACAGGCAAACTTACCTTACTGCGCATATGCGTGCACCTCACAGCTGATTTTTGGATGGTTTGAGGCCTTTTTAGGACTCCCAAAGGCTTGAGGAAGGCCTCTGCAGGCTTCTACAAGTTTTGTAGGCCAAAAACTAGCCCCATTTCGTCACTTCCGGTATTTTCGGAAAAACAGGAAGTGATGAAATGGGGCTAGATTTCGGCCTACAAAGCTTGTAGAAGCCTGCAGAAGCCTTCCTCAAGCCTTTGGGAGGCCAAAAAAGGGCTCAAACCGGCCAAAAATCAGCTGTGAGGTGTGCAATGCAGGTAAGGAGGCGGCGGGATGGGGTGGCATTGCGCGCAAATGTGTAGGTGGCATGGGGGGGCAGGCATTGCCTACTGGATGCTGGCATGGAAGCCCGCGTGCACAAGCGCGCATGCAATTTTCACCATGGGGGTCGAAAAAAGTTAGCCACCACTGGAATATAGAACTTTAGAGTAGAATAGAATAGAAATTTAGAATAGAGTAGAATTCATAAAATTGGGTGGGTGTTATGATCATCCCATTTTATGACCATTATGACATAATAGGCCGGCTCCATTATGGTCATATGTCAAGGACCACCTGTACAATTAAATCTCTCCCTGCCCTAATCTACCTGCTGGCGTTTATTAGTGATTTCAGTTCATTTCTCTCTTCCTGAAGGCAGCTGAGTCTTTCTCAAATTGGTATGCCCGGTTTGTAAGCCGAAAAAAAGTTTGTAAGTGAAACTTCCCACCAGACTGAATTGCGGGCAAGCAATATTCAGCTTATCTTCTTTTTCGGCTATCTAGGATTCCTTCCCCTTCGCCTCCTCTTCAAGAGACAAAAAAAAAAAAATTAATATGGCTTTTCATATCAGAAGGACTCCATTTCCTATCGCCCAGCAATAAACTCTGGGTGTTATTGACCAATAATCTCAGTACTGCGAGCTTTGCGTGGTTGTATTAAATCTTCATCTCAGATACAATCATGGGGTAATTAAAACATCATAGCTAGGTGAAGTGTGGCAGTTACGATGCATCGGTGATAACAATTATATATTGTTAGCTTGGTTTTGCCGTCCTCGCTGTAATCCCTGAAGAAGTCACTTCTTTTATCCTTTTCGGGACTCATTTTTAAATGGTGTGCCTGTGATGACCTGGGGCCCGGCACAGAGCCAACCCAGGCAAGCTGGCAGTTCAAACCGCCCCTTTATTGCTCCAAATTTCCTCCAAATACTCCCAGAGCCAAGGGATGAGACATGCACACACACACACGTATCTCACGAAGCCTCTGGCTGCAAATAGTCCAGTCCAACACTGTGAGCACCATGGCTGCAAGCAAGAAAATCCAGCAGGCAACTCGAAGAATCCCGAAAGCCAAGAATCCCAAAATCAAGAAGGAATCCAGGAAACTTCAAACATCGACACTCGACACTCCAGGAGTTCAGTCTCTGTTCCCGACAAATGCCTCTCCCTACAACGTCTCCTTAAGCCTCAGTCCCCAGGTGTACCTTCGAAAGAGGGGCGGGCTGCTCTCCTCCTGACTAGTCAGGTCAGCCTGCACTGTTTTCACCTTCTCTCCACTCTCCATGCTCTAGGATCAGGAGGGGGCAAGTCCTTGCTTACCGCCTGAGCTCTGTCTCTCATGTTCCCTGCTTAACCTCTCTTTGGCATCCTGCTCATCTTCCTCCCTGCCTACAGCCTATCCTAAACCTGAAAAGCCCCATCCTGATAGGGCCTGCTCTTCCCCATTTTCCTCCGAAGCTGTCATGCCCCTGTCGGAATCTGACTCAGAGGGGAAAGCCGAACAGCTGACAGGGAGTGGGAGTTTGGCTCCATTGGCTGTGGGAGAAACTGGGGAAGGGCAAAGTCCAACTGGGCAGAGCAGGGAAGAGGTAGAACAAGGGACAGGGAATTCAGAGAAAGATCCAGGACCAACCCCTCTTCCTCCTAGGGCACGCAGGGAGGAACGGAGAAGGGAGCAACATGAGTTGCATGGCTTACGGGGAAGGAAAGGGCCCTGATTCCCTTCATTAACTGCAGCTGGGAACACAGTGGATAAAAAAGGAAGTTGCGCGCAGCAGGCTGTTGAGAGCAAACATGACTTTATCTTGTATCGTCGTGGCTTATCTAGTGATCCAAAAGATCTTACATTCCGCAGAAATGGATAAACTCACCTCAGAGTTAAAGGACAAGGAAGACTCGGAATATTATACAGTTTGGAAAAATTGGTAACAATGGATGGACAATAGGAATAAGAAATGTACAGATTAGAAAAAGATATAGATATGTATATGAATAATTAGAAATGTACAAAAATGTGTACATCCGTGTACACAAATGTGTACATGTAACAAAGATATCTTAGTACTGTCAAAAATGATTGTGATTTGTAAAAAGCTATTTTTAAATGCATTTGTATTTTAATGCTTCAAAATTTCAATAAAGGTTATAAAATTAAAAAAAGAAAAGAAAAGAAAAAAGAAAACAAGGTTAGTAAAAATCAGTCGGGCGGACCTAAAATGAAAAGACCTATCATCTATATATTTTTTTCCTAGCCTTAGGAAAAGAACCAGTTACGTACTTCAAAGTTCTTATGCCAGTGAACGATTTGAATACATTTTACGTTACTCCAAGAATTGGAAACACGCTTTGTGACTTTAGTTTATGTGGCTCCAGATCAACAGGCCCAGCACATCATGTGCCAGATCGTTGTGGATCAGACCCAACGTCCTTCTTGAGAGCTGTGAAAAGTGCGCTGAGAACTTGCCAGGTCTTGCTTTTGGAGGCCTGCGAAGAGAGCTTAAAAATATCTCTCTCTGCTTTGTCTGGTGCCAGGGCTGCCCGTCCCCACCTTCACTGAGAATGCGACAGATGCGCCTGCCCATCAGGGCAAGGGTAGGAGAGGATGGCCTTGGGAGTCAGAAGGGACACCCACAGGTTGGACAAGCAGAGGGCCAACTTTCGCTATCTCCAGAAATAGGAAAAGCTTTCTGGAAAGGGTCGTAAGAGGGGAAGAAAAAGAAATACTTGCAAGGTTTTGTTGATGTAACCCTTATAATAAAGACAGAGCTGGGATTCGTTGCTGGGTTTGGACCGCTTTGTCTGTGAACCAAGCACCATTGGTCTTCCTCATTTGTCCATAATCCAAATGGACTCTTCATCTACCTGTAGAGCTAAATTCCTCCTTAAAAATGCTGAGACAGAGACTGGGGAGATGAATTAATGATGTGACAGGAGCTGGTCAATTAGCCCTGGACAAGACTGGCTAAATAACGGCTTGTTGACTCACGATCTATGGGGTTAACCCACAAAGGGATGGGTTCACACTACATGCTTGTCCCAAGCCAAGCAGATTACCTAACTGCTTCATACAATGATTGAACACCTCAGAGTGTGTGTGTGAGAGAGAGAGACAGAGACAGACAGTCAGAGAGAGACCGACAGAAGAGACAGCGAGAGAAAGAGACAGACACAGGCAGAGAGAGACAGGGAGACAGAGACAGAAAGAGAAAGAGAGACAGAGAGAGAAAGAGACAGAGATGGATAGAGAGACAAAGTGAAAAAGAGACAGAAACAGAGAGACAAGGAGACAGAGAGAGAGACAGAGGCATAGACAGACAAAGAGAGAGAGAGAGAGAGAGAGAGAGAGAGACAGAGAGAAAGATAGACAGACAGACAGAGACAGAGAGACAGACTTAGAGAGAGAGAGACAAATACAGAATCAGTCATAGGCCAGGAGAAGTGGATCATTTTAAACAGAACCAAATGTTTCACAGGTAGTCCTCGACTTACAACCGAAATTAAGCCCGACATTTTATCGCAAGCAAGAGAGTTGTGAACTGAGTTTTGCCCCATTTTACAGCCTTTCCGGTCGTAGCTGTGAAGTGAATCCCTGCGGTTGTTAAGTCAGCCACACGGTTGTGAAGCGGCTCTGACTTTCCCCATTGACTTTTGCATGTCAGACAGTCATAAAAGGGGATCCTGTGACCCCGGGGATTTTGCAACCGTCGTAAACACGAGTCGGTTGCCGAGCATCTCAATTTGGATCCCGTGGGGATATCTCCAACAGTCACGACTGGGGGAAACGGCCCGAATTCGGGGTTCTTTTTTTCAGCGCCGTCACTTCAAATGGTCACTGAAGGGATGGTTGTAAGTCAAGGACAACCTGTATTAATCCCTGGAACAAAAATTTCCGATTTACATTAAAAAAAAAGGACCATCATCTTATCCTGGAAAAGAGAGACATACCTGCAGCTCCACCAATGGAGGTATGATTGCTAGATCCAAATTTCTTCTGAGATTTTCCGCCAGGAGAAGATGGCTCTTTCATCCGCTCGATGACATTTTCGGAGAGCTGAAAAATAACACACAAAATGAGGCGGTGGTTGTTTTCCAGCGGTATCCCTTGAACGGTTCTGACCCAGGCTTCCTGAGACACCCACAAACACATATAAAATCCAACACTCTTTTATTTTAGTTCAAGGGCTGTGAATTATCGTCATTCACAGCCCGGAATGAGATTTAACCGGTTATAATTAGTCTCAGGGAACGCCTGCCAAAATTCTTTGGGAGAAGTCTGATAAGAACGCACCTTTATCTTCCTTGAAGTGCTGCCAACGACTCAAGTCCCAATTAGTCTTTCCAAAACCAAACAGAGAACTAATTCGCCACGGAGCGTTTCAGAGTCCAAACCGGTCAGAGCAAACAATGTTGCTTCCTGCAAAGGTTTTCCTACCTTTGCACTTCCTTTATACCTTATTGGAGGGCCAATCACCTCCAAGCCTTACTCCCAAATTGCTGTTTTTGCCTTAGCTGCTCGTGCCTTCTGGCAGCTCTGTGCACATGCACACTGGGAACAGGCTCCCCTCGTTCCTCTGCCTTGCTGCTGCCAGGCTCCAGAGTCAGCACCCCACTCCCAGATGGTCCTGGCCCCATTTCTGCATCGGATGCAGGACCGTCATCTGAGTCCTCCGTAGACTCCCAGACTGGTCCCTGTTCCTCCCCGCTATCCAATTCTACTGCTGTTTTCACAGGCTGCCAGCGAACCGCAACAGGAACATATATAATTCCCACGCTACATCTTGTATGACGTTTGAGATACAAAGTCTTCTAGCATTTCATTTGAGCTCTTAAGCCCTAAAATTGCTTTTGTCGAGAAAAAAAAAAAAAACACGCCTGGAGAGGGGTTTAAAAAAAAAATCTTAGAATGTATTTTTTAAGCCGCCGGCAGGTAAATGGAAATATATTAAATGTGATTTTCCTCGGCTAAAACGCATTCTTCAACTTTGGCTAGCCTTTTCCCCTTTCAAATAAAATAGCATTTTTTTTCAAAAAGGGGAACTCGGTAAGAAATTTTCTGAGTCTAAAACGGGACTTGGAATAGAGGCTGGCAATCACTCGGCAGCCAAAGGTCTCTCTTTTTTTAAAAAAAAATCCACCGTTCTTCTGCAGCCAACAACCACAGGACGTAGGCCAATAATGGCAAGTATAAAATTTCTCTGGCCTTTTTCCCACGGAGAGGTAGGGGAGATTGGGCTTTTTTCTTCCAAGTAACATAGAAATTTACTGTGTTTCCCCGGAAATAAGACCGTCTTTTTTAATTTTTTTTGCCACCAAAAAAGGCACCAGGTCTTATTTTCGTGGGAAGTCCTCCACTGACTAAACCTCACTTGCACGCATCGCCCCCCGACATTCGGGAAAGTCTTCTTCTGAGGCCAGCAAGGCTTTCCTGAAGGCCTCTGCAGCCTTCAGGATCGATCCAAAGCTTTGTTTTCAGCTCCAGAGGCCTTCAGGAAAGCCTTGCCAGCTGCAGAAGAAATGGACCGGCAAGGCAGGTATCGAGGCCTGGCTACAACCGTCCAAAGGTAAGTAGTAGGGCAGCTCCACCCTCCCCATCGTCACCCTAGCTTAATTTTACCAGTGCACTGGGTGGAATCTTAATTAGGGATTATTGGGGGGGGGATAGGGCTTATATTGGGCACACATGTTAAAATCAAGCTAGGACTTACTTTCAGGGTAGGTCGTATTTTCGGGGAAACAGGTTAGAAGGAAATCCAAGGCTTAAAAGAGCCACTTATTTTCAGAAGCATTGAAGAAGAAGAAAAATCAGAGCATTAAAGCTGAAGTGCTGCTGCTGAAAAATGGGGAAGCCTTCACTGGCTCCAGAGACAGCCAAGATAACAGATAATCAGAGTTGGAAAGGTCATCTAGTCCAACCCTCTGCCCAAGCGGGAGACCCTACACCATTTCTGACAGATGGGAGTCCAATCTCTTCTTGAAGGCCTCAAGGGATGAAGCTCCCACAACTTCCCAAGGCAACTTCTGTTCCATCGGTTGATGGTTCTCACTGTCAGAAAGTTTCTCCTTATTTCAAGGTTGAATCTCTCCTTATTCAGTTTCTATCCATTGTTCCTTGTCTGGCCTTCAGGTGCCTTGGAAAATCGCTTGACCCCTTCCTCCTCTCTGTGGCAGCCCCTCAAATATTGGAAGACTGCTATCCTGTCTCCCCTGGTCCTTCTCTTCACTAGACTAGCCAGGCCCAGTTCCTGTAGCCGTTCCTCATATGTTTTAGTCTCCAGATCCCTAATCCAGGGGTCGCCAACCTTCTGGACCTCAGGGACCACCAAACTCATAATTTTAGATCCCAGGGACCACTAACCAGTTGTGTGGGCATGGCCTAATTTGTGGGTGTGGCTTGGTGGTCATGTGACTGGCTGGGCATGGCTTGTATGTAAATATTATAAATATTTATATAAATATTAAATTTCTTATTAAAAAAGAGCAACTTTTACCCAAAATCAGGCAAAGCAGGCAGATTGAGTTGCTCACAGAATCACAGATTCATTCAGAGATCTATCTATCTGCCATTGGCTAGCTCAGTCTGTCACATAAAATTTGCTTGCAAGCAAACTCATAAAATTTGCTAGTAAGCAAACTCACAAAATTAACCCACAGCACACCATGCATGTAAATATTGAATTTTTTTATTTATAAAAGAGCAACTTTTACCCCAAATCAGGCAAAACAGGCAGATTGAGTTGCTCACAGAATCATTCAGTGATCTATCTATCTGCCATCGGCTAGCTCAGTCTCTCAAATTTGCTTGCCGCGAGTTTGCACTGAATTTGCTTGCAAGCAAACCTTCAGTTCTAACGGAGGTTCGGCTGTGCTGAGCTGAAGATCTAAAGACTAGCTAGAAAGCAAGAAATCCAAACCATTTCCTGCTTCCTAGCTAATCTAAATCTCCCAGCAGAACAGATGATGGTCGGAAAAAGGAAAAATAGAAATTTAGCAGGCAAGTTTGCCGGGTAAGGAGTGAGTGAGCGGGGAGGATTCCCGCGGGCCATGTGGGCTGAGCAGCCTTGTGTTTCTGCGCAGCCTGGATTAATTGCTTTGTGGGGGTGCTCTGGGGGTGAGATTTCTCTGTGGCCCACCAAAATTTTCTCACGGCCCACCGGTTGGCGACCGCTGCCCTAATCATTCTGGTTGCTCTACTTTGTTTATTTTATTTATTTGTATCCCAGTGTTATTTTTATAACAACATAATCAACAATCCTTCATCCTCCTATTTTCCCCATAACAACAACCCTGTAAAGTGGGTTGGGCTAAGAAGGAGATTGGCCCAAAGTCACCCAGCTGACTTTCATGCCTAAGGCCAGACTAGAATTCAATGTCTCCTGGTAATTGGCCCAAGTCACCAAGCTGGCTTTCATACCTAAGGTGGAACTAGAACTCACTATCTCCCAGTAATTGGTGCAAAATCACCTAACTGGTTTTCATGCTTAAGGCAGGACTAGAATTCACTGTCTCCCAGTAACGGTCCCAAAGACATCGAGCGGGTTTTCATGCAGAAAAGACTAGAACTCCCTGTCTCCTGGCGATTGGTCCAAAGTCATGCAGCCAGCTAAGCGGGACTTGAATTCAGTCTCCCCACTTTCTAGCCTGGTGCCTTAAATCACAGGACCAAACTGGCTAAATGTTAGCCAAGCTACTGCCTCTAGAGCAGAAATAATATTAATTCGAGCACTGTTATGTGAGGGTTTCCAGACTACACGGCTGAAAACTAATATTCGGCAGCAACAGGGAGTCGGGTACTCTGGAGTTTCAGCTCCCTAAATTCTTTGTTACTAAGCTTCAGGGTGGGGGAAAAAGGGGACTTCAAGGGAACAATGTCATGAGAACACAGGAATCCTTGTTTACAGAGGAGCGACCAAAGGGATAAGGTGGAAGCAAGAAAGAGTTGGTGGAGTCTTAAGGAGGGGGGGGGGAAAGGAGAATGAAAGGAGCCCCAAAATCAGAAGAGGCAAGGGAGAAAAAAAGAGCCCCCCTCAAGTGTCACACCAACCCCTTTCAGTTCCATCCTCTGCTCTTTCTTTCTTTTTTGAAACCTCTTTCTATGCAGGCTTCAGACGTAGCAAATCCTGACATAGGGAGGCCTGTAGGGAAGGAAGGAAGGAAGGAAGGAAGGAAGGAAGGAAGGAAGGAAGGAAGGAAGGAAGGAAGAGGGAGGGAGGGAAGGAAGGAAGGAAGGAGAAGGAGGGAAGGAAGACAGGGAGGGAGAGAAGGAAAGAGAAAGATGGAGGGTGAGAAGGAAGAGGGGGCAGAAGGAAGTAGAGAGGGAAGGAACAGGGAAAGGAAGGAAGGAAGGAAGGAAGGAAGGAAGGAAGGAAGGAAGGAAGGAAGAAGGAGGGAAGGAAGACAGGGAGGGAGAGAAGGAAAGAGAAAGATGGAGGGTGAGAAGGAAGAGGGGGCAGAAGGAAGTAGAGAGGGAAGGAACAGGGGAAGGAAGGAAGGAAGGAAGGAGAAGGGAAGGGAAGGGAAGGGAAAGGAAGGGAAGGGAAAGGAAGGAAGGAAGGAAGGAAGGAAGGAAGGAAGGAAGGAAGGAAGGAAGGAAGGAAGGAAGGAAAAGTGGGAAAAACGGGGAGGTTCTGGGTAAGGCAAGGAGGTGCCATCACCATGGGGGGGCGGGTGGGGAGACAAGAGATGGCTCAGCCAACCTCCTTCTAATTCCTCTCTTGTGATTTTGGGTCAACCAAAAGAAGTCTGCAAATTCCAAATTCTCTGAACACGTCAGACAAGCAAGGAGCTTGGTGGCTGTATAGGAGGGTAAGGAATTGTTTAAAACTGATAATAAAGATGGAGAAGGTAGGTAGGTAGGGAAGTAGGTAGGGAAGGAAGGGAAGGGAAGGGAAGGGAAGGGAAGGAGGGAGGGAGGGAGGGAGGG